AAGCTGCGGCGCTGCTGAAGCCAGCAGAGCTTTCACCTTCTCAGCGACTTTTACTTTCACTTGACCCGGAGCCTCCCGACTGCTGTGCATCAAAGGGCTGGTTTGGCACTCGGCTTACCCGTCGTCCCAGCTGGCGTCTGCTACCCACGAGGTGGCCCTTTTCAGGAGCGGATGAGACCTCCCCTTGTGTCTGGAGGCTGGTGACAATTTATCGTCATGCGCCAAAAGCTTTGGCTTGGGAAATGGCCGGGGAAAGCCTTGCTGGTTGCCCTACAAGTGGATGCTTCCCAGGAGAGTTGCCGGCAGTGATCATTTCCAAAACATCACCCTCATGCTCGAACGGTGTCTGGCACTCTCTGCTCTGTTGGCATTGTCCCCAGCTCCTGCCCCTGCTCCCTTGCCGGCTTGTCACCCCAGGCTGACGGTCCCCTTGCCTCCCCGCGTGCAGGTACCCCCTTCGAGAACACCCAGTGCCGCGCCTGCCCCCGCGGCTTCTTCTCTTCCTCCAACTCCAGCACCAAGCCGTGCCAGCCGCACCAGAACTGTGAGCAGCAAGGGAAGGTGACCAACGTGCAGGGCAACCAGTACCACGACACCCTCTGCACCTCCTGCAGACTGGGGAGAAGCAACAGCACGCAGGGACCAGGTGAGCGTGGGCCGAGGGCGCGGGATGCCGGGACCACGATGCTGCCAGGGCGGGAGTGAACTTTCTGGTGACTTTTTTTCTACATAGATGTGAAATGAGGTGAAATAGCTTCTAGAAGTATGGTGCGACCCATAATTAATAATAATTGCGGGTAATATATCATCCGTCTGCCTTGCTCCCACGCCAGGGTTGGTCCCGTAGGGCAAGGGCAGGGTGCAGAGCTTAAGCAACAGCCGCTGCTCAGCCAAAGCCCATGCGGGCTGCTTGCTCAGCCGGAGCAAAGAGCTGGCAGTGAAATCCTGCCGCATCTCACCAGGAACTGGGGTAACTGGGGATGCCGGCACACGGGGACAGCTTGGGCAGCCGTTCGGCTGTGACTGATGGCTCACAGCGATAAGTGGTCCTGGCGGTCGTGTGAACGGACGCGGCGTCAAGGGCTGAGCCTCCTGCACTCGCTTCTCCCGGGCTTCCAGCCCGTTTTCCAGGGAAGCTTTTATTGTGGCCACAACCTTGTCTCACGCAGGTCGAATGGAGCAGAGTCCAAGGTACATCGGAGGTTCGATGTAAGGGTGGGTTTTGACCTGTTAGTGAAAAAGTAGAGCCATGGTGTCACCACGACAATGCAAACGTAGCGTCGAGCCTCGGCGGAGGCTGGAGGTTGGGCAGGAGCTGCCAGCGGGCACAGATATAGAGCAAAGGAGCGGGGGAGAGCGATGGGCTGGCTCCGGGTGCTTTGTAACAGGCACCCCAACAAGTCATGGGATGAGAAAGGGACTGGTAAGCATCTCAAGGGCTGGATGTCGGTGGAGGTGAGGCAGGCAGCCGTTTTGAACCACCCGCTCTACCCTGAGCATCCAGCCAAGATAAACAGGGGACAAATTCAATGTGACCGATCCGGGTGCCAGTGAACCTGCACCCTTAGACTTCCAAAAAAACCCCACAAAACCATAGAGCCACAGAGTGGCCCAGGCTAGAAGGGACTTGGAACGTTCACCTGGTGCAGCCTTTCATGGGAAAGGGAGCCTGGATGAGGTTATCCGGCACCCTCTCCAGCCACATCTCGAAGACCTCCAGCGATGGGGACTCCACCACGTCCCCGGGGAGGTCGTCCCAGTGACTGACCCTTCTCACCACAAAAAATTAATTCCTTCCATCACGATGAAGCTTGAGCATCAATACGAGCTTCTCCTCCGTGGTGACGCAGCCGGGAGGCCGTTGGAAGCCTGGATGAGGTTATCCGGCACCCTCTCCAGCCACATCTCGAAGACCTCCAGCGATGGGGACTCCACCACGTCCCCGGGGAGGTCGTCCCAGTGACTGACCCTTCTCACCACAAAAAATTAATTCCTTCCATCACGATAAAGCTTGAGCATCAATCCGAGCTTCTCCTCCGTGGTGACGCAGCCGGGAGGCCGTTGGAGGCCCTCTCGCCTCCCTGTCCTCTCCTGGCACCGCCAACGCGGCGCATTTCTCCTCACGAAGCCTGACTCACGCCGCGAGCTCCTTGCCAGGAGCGTGATCTCACCGGAGAGAGGAGATGGAAAGCTCTGTCGTCAGCGGGACGCGGTCCCGGGGAGGGGGGGACGGTCAGGTGAGGGCTGCGTCAGCAGCACGTGCGCTGCCGCTCGTTGCGCAACGGCACGCGCAGCCAGACCGGCCGTTCAGCTATTTATAGAGCCAGAGGAGGCCCGTGAGCAACGGGAGCCGAGGCGGATCGTCGTGGTCTCGCTCGGGAGGCAGACGGGCACCGGCAGCCGCGGGGGCGATTCGGCATAAACCCCCAATTCGCAGGAGAGGCAGAGCCTGGGCAGGGAGCCCGACCCACCCCACTCTAACCGGTGAAACCCTTCCCAGTTTACAATGGTGTGAAACTGGGCTAAGTCTCTCCCTGACTGAGTAATCGTTTGGCCTTTCAATCGTGTCTGTTGAAAATTCTTTCTGATTTTATTCCTTACGCTGGACGCGCCCCAGCAGCGCTTTAACCAGCTGGGACCAGGTCTGTCCAAAGCCCCGCGCTGGGCTGTGCTTGGGGCTGATCCTGCCCCGTAAAAATCTGCATGGGAAAATAGAAACTTCCAGGAAAAATAACAGGTGTAAACACCTACTGCGATTACTTCATTTTTTTTGTCAGGAATTTCCCTCTTCCCCTACTCCCTGGCAGGGAGGAGCTTAGAAAAGGTATATTTAGGTTTTTGAAAACTAGAGGAACTTTTACACGTTGTTTTCTAACTGCCCCGTATGGGGCCACTGCCTGCGGCGAGGGCTGGACCCAGCCTTCCAGGGCAGCCAGCGGGCAGAGATGGGCTCTGGCCAGTTAATAATGCCACGTTTGGTGCTTTTCTCCTTCTTCTTCCTTCCAACCTCATTTTTTCCACCGGCAAAATGCTTTTTCTGACTGCACACCCGCTGGCAGCACGAGCCGGCTGCCCTCCCTCCCCGCCCTTGACTCAGGCAAAGGACGAGCTGCTGCAAGCCAGACGCTGCCGCGTCCTCGGGCAGGGGCTCGCGCGCTGCCGGGGCAGCCGCGTGCGTGGGATCTGCGTGGGATCGCGTTCATGGATCTACGTGGCCGCAGGAGCTGAAATACCCTCCTGAATCTGGCAGAGGGGTTGTGAGTGGCAGGTTTCCTGCCCTCCCCGCCCTTGACTCAGGCAAAGGACGAGCTGCTGCAAGCCAGACGCTGCCGCGTCCTCGGGCAGGGGCTCGCGCGCTGCCGGGGCAGCCGCGTGCGTGGGATCTGCGTGGGATCGCGTTCATGGATCTACGTGGCCGCAGGAGCTGAAATACCCTCCTGAATCTGGCAGAGGGGTTGTGAGTGGCAGGTTTCCTGGCAGGGCTCGCTGGGCTGGGACCCCCGGTCCGAGCCGCGGCCAGGGAGCAGAGCCCAGGTGAGGACGATTTCACAGAATCACAGGATGGGTTGGGTGGGAAGGGGC